CAGCATGGGCGTGATCTCCACGTGGAAACGGCTGAACTCCTTTGATCCGGACCAGGGAGGAAACACAGAGCAAGTGTTCAGGTATTAGTGAGGGTAGAGTGAAAACCGTCACCAGACTCCAGAGAAACTGATTGGACGTCTCACCTTGTACACAAAAGCGCAGACAAAGTCGATGAAACCGCACTGCAGCTTGGGCAGGTCGTCGGATTTATTTCTGTCCATCATGGGCTGAGGAGAGAGAAGGTGAATCATTACTGACCAGAGATAAAACTGGGGTAGGGTTTTCTCCACAGCTTCATTAATGTGGAAAGGAGTCAGAGGTCAGTCAGAAGGATTACTCCAACATTTAAAGCTGAAATGATTCCTCACTAGTCAAACTGTTGATTGGAAAAGTCTTTTTTGGTCCTTAAAAATGAACAAATATTGTTATAAATTTGAAAGAGGCTTCAGGTCGGTGACAGTAAAAGAAAAATGCTCCCTTATCTCTCCTGTAACGCTGTCAGCCTCATGCTAATGCAGATCTCTGATTATGGAAACATTTTCAAAGCCTACAAAAGGCTCTTTGGGCAATGATGGAATAAGGGGAGCTATTCCTTCCAGGCTGGACCAGCTGTATCTCTGTTTGTTTTAGCTAAAATACCATTCCAATGGAAAAAGGGTTTCATTTTCCCGATGGGATAATTGTGGATTTATACTGTTTGTTCAAAAGGAACCTAGCTAGCTAAAGCAGTCGATCCGAACCTGAAAGCCAGATTCTGCCTGCTCCAAATCTTAGTTAGCCCTTTTCAGATGAAACCAGGTGGAGCGGCTCCACATTAGCCACATTAGCCACATTAGCCACATTAGCCACATTAGCCCGTTCTGACGCTCTGCAGGCCGGTGGGCAGCACGCTGGACTGTGAAATCCTGTGAAAAGCCCCCGCTGGCTGTAATTGCTGGTAAAATTGCCCACCTACATGTCCTGAAAAGTGTCACAGCCTCTGAAAACTCTTTTCAGGCTGCAGTGAGTCAGACTCTACTGCAGGGAATAGAAAGCTGATGGAAATGAAATGAAAAGCTTTCCCTGCTGACAGATGCTATTAACTCCAGGGACTGTGACCCAGAGTGGGACGGGGGTTCTGACTCTTGGAGAGTTAGGGTTAGGGTTGCCCTCTGAGGCTGTGGGTGCTCACTAAAACACACCGGTCAGCCTCTGGTTCTCACTGAAACACACCGGTCAGCCTCTGGTTCTCACTAAAACACACCGGTCAGCCTCTGGTTCTCACTAAAACACACCGGTCAGCCTCTGGTTCTCACTAAAACACACCGGTCAGCCTCTGGTTCTCACTAAAACACACCGGT